TATATATATATATATATACACACACACACACATATATATAGGATTTGTGATAGGAGAGCATTTTGCAATCTCTGGATGTGAATATGCATAACTTCATCAAAATAAATAAGGTCTATGTTATTCTCAGACGTGACTTTGTTTGAAACCATCTTTCCTAAAATTGCCTTAAAGACTATATTAATACTTAACGATATTCCTCTTGTGGGCAAACCACTGTAAAATGCACTTCTTCATGTTTAAAGTAAGACTTGCAGAATGGTAACACCTCCTAACAACAAAAAGACAGCTGGAGGTCTGCAGGACTGAGCCAGAAGCACTGATACCACTGCAGATGAAACACACCATCAACATAATCCTTTTTTTTTCTAGTTTTTTTTTTTCTCCAGAGGCACCAGATGGCAGCATTTTTCCCTCACTGAGTGTGATCTCATCCTCTCAGACTCACTCCTGGGATCATCAGGCTTTGAGGCTTTGTGAGCCACAGTGACCTCAGCTGAACTGCACCTTTTCTGTTGCCACCTGCTCCTTTTTCCTACTTTTATTGGACATGCACAATCCAGGCCCTTGAAGTTGTGGTTGTCTTTTCCATGTGCAGGTCTGAGAGTCTAAAAAGAATCATTAGAAACAGGTATGCAAAAAAATTAGACCACAGAATAGGGCTCTGACCTCTAAATTTTCCACATCCTCTAAATAGTAAGTATAATGAAGTTTATTTGATATTCTTGTTAACTACATGCTCTTTTCCATATACACATGTTCACAATGTAATACTTGCCTACAAGCAAGTTTGGCATGTGTCCTTTTCTATCAGTGCTTTATTCCTTGAATAATATTTCATTATACAAAAGTTATGCGTGTCAAGTTATGCGCTACTAGACTTGTAACCTCCGTTGAAAGAACTCAGTTCTGGACAAATAATCTGAAGCAGAGCAGGGATTTTGAGAACTAAACTGCAAGCTCTGGGGTTTTTTTACAGTTACAGACGTGGTCTAAAGCTTTGTGGGCTGGGAATTCTGTTATCTCACCATCCTCTGTTCTGCTTCTTCCCTTCATCCTCATGTTATTGCTTTCAATGCTGCTTTGTTAGTGGTTTTGTCTTAGAAGAAAAAAAACTACACATTATGTCCAGCTGTAAAAAACTATTCTTAAATCATCTACCTTTAAACTTGAATTCTGCAGCACTGGGATGCAAATGTTTATTTATTTGAATGATGTGACTAACACTGACAGCATAAGAAAGACTCTTTATCCAAAGTGGGGTTGGATTGCTGGGCCCCAGAGGGTGAAGGAGTAGCAGCCCTGGCTGCTGCTTTCTTTGACTGTTACTCCATCAGGTTGCTGGTGTTTCTGCTGTGGTGACTGTGTTAATGCTTTACAAATGCTATGAGCTCAGTAGTAGACTATTTGGGGATTGTATAATTTATTAACTTCTGACAAGCAGGCCATTATTTTTCTGAAGAACCTGTGTGACAAGGGACTTTACTTTTATTTTATTTTTCAAATTTCAGCCAAATTCAACATGAGTGTCACAGGATAGGGGCACTAGATCCTTGACAGCCCCACCCTTCCTCTTATTTAATACCAAAAACTATCTGTAAACAAGCAAGAAGGAGGGAGGGAAGAGTAATTCTCAGAGGAAGTATTAAGAATCCTGTATGATTAAAACATTAGGCTGTGTAAATTTGGGAAACAGTGCTATTTTCTTCTGTTAAAAAAAAAAATCTAATTTAAAAAAATACTAAAATTCCTTCTATTTTATCTCACTTTCTTGTAGCAATTTTTTTTCCAGTTCTGGATTTGCCTGTACTTTGCCATAAGCTAGTATCTACAAAGAGAACAGATGTAGCTTTATGCCCAAGGTGTGTGAAATAAATGCAAAGTATATGAGCATCTCACCTGAAAGTGGAGTGGCACTGCACCGCTGGAAGTCAATTGTGTTAGTTACTCCTTATCCTCTAAAAAAGAAGGCTAAGAAATTTAAATATATCTCCACTTTTTTAATTATTGATGCAATCCCTTGTGCACAGTTGCTTTGCAAAGTGGAAGAAAGATTAACTGTAAATACTTTATTTTGTCTTTCTATAGCACCATAATTACTATTTCCCACCTTCTCTGAGAAAGACAAGCAGGTACCTGTGATGAGCTTTGTGAGGGGAGAGATGCTGAGAAGGTAAAAAGAGTGTCTGGTGTCACTCAGTATGGAACATTACAGCTTGCCATTATTTATTTTGGAACTGTGACAACTGACCAAAAGATGGGAACTATAAATAGGAATGCAATGAGCATTAGCTGCGCAAGAAGGAAAAAACAGTGTAACTTGGCATGCAGCAAAACGTGTATCTGGCACAGCATACAGCTGTCCCTGCAACTCCCACTGCCATCCTGGGGGATTTTGCTGATTTCCCACTACTTACAATGAATTAGGAACAGCACCATCTCTGTTAGCTTTGATTCTTACTCAGTAGAGCTCGCTCAGATAGGTCCTGATAAACCTTTAGCTAAGAAAGATACAAGTCTCCTCCTACACGTAAATTACAGGGAGAAGATTGTTTGTTTTGTGAAGTGTAACTGCTATGTTATTCACAGGCTGCATCTTGCACAGTAAGTGAAATAATTGTTGGAACAAGCTGATGGAATCACTGCTTTCCTTTGCTGCAGTTCAGAATGAAAACACCAAACAGGGCCAAATTCTGCCTAGAAGAGTTCATTGTGTTTTTGCTTCTAGACTGCCATGGCTGGAGGATGCATCGGTAAAAATTCAGGGCATGTTAGCTTAGAATGGACTGAGATAGAGACCTTGGCAGTTTTGCAGCAGAAACATATTTTCCACTGACTCCTGAGCTTAGCCTTCAATCATGTCAGTCTGGTATGTGAGAGCAAGCAACCCAACACACATACTTTCCTTTCTGTGTGTACATTGCTATATGATGCATACAAAACATGGTCAGTGTCCTCAGAAAGGCATCCCCTGAAAGAAAATCTATAGTTTCGTGTTTTGAGCATCTTCATTTCCCCTTCTTATCCTTGTAACATTTCCTATATGGCCTTAGCCACAGAGAAATGTATTTTTTTTTCTGTAGCAGACAGTGACAATATCAGGTGTTATAGCAGGTGATGTAGGAATGGGAGGCTGCAAAGAGTGGTTAGGAAGAAGTTGTTACAATGCTCTATGTCTAAAAAGTAGGCAAAAGTAAGCATTTCACTAGGAGGGGCAAAACAAGGTACACATGGAATAAAATTTGAGTTTTTCCCAAAAGACACAAGAATACCAACTGTCTTAAGAGCTTCTGCCACTGATCATATTACAGTTGCTGTGACAGGACTATGGCTGATATACTGTGTGTGATCTCTCTCTTGGTGCCTGTTCTCCACTGATTGTCCTGCACAGAAAAAAAAATACAGGTATTGCAAAGGGACAGTTGGCTGCATTCCAACCCAAACTATAGCCTGGACTGAGCTGGGCTAGATGTTGCTTCTGACCACACAGTGAATTTTGAATGCCTGAAGATGTCTTTAATAAGTAAAGATAGCACTGAATTGTGTAGGCAAGGATGTTACACACTTTTCCTTGCTTATTTTGTTTTTCAGTTGGGAGAAGTAGGCTTTCTTTGTTTGGAATTATATTTTTGTCTTCAGTGAGTGCTTTTTGGGAGCTGAAGTAGAGCTAGCCTCTCTCAAGACATCTCTAAGTTTTAAGCAGTTTTTCCCATCCGAATGGAACTGGATAATTTCCACTGCCAGATGAACAGCAGAACATCAGCCAGAAAAAACATTTAAGTGCATTTACACGTTTGATGCTAACGGCTAGAGAAAGAAGAATGGATAAATGGTGTTTACTCCATTTATCCTCAAGCACAACACAGTACACAGCTTCCTTTAATAAGCCCCTGTAGCATAGGCAAGAGGCGATGGTCCTCGTTCCTGGTGTTTGTGATAATTTGCCAATGAAACACAGAGGTGTCGGATGGTTTGTGCACTGTTTATTGCAGCTTTTACCCCTGCACCCAGATTCTCCAAACTGCTATTTTGTTTTTTCAATGAAGGTTTCAGAAGGGATTTTGTAAACAGAAAAATACCCCAACAAAACTGCTAGAGAGTGAAAGGCTGCTATCAGCTGAGGAGGTAAGTTTATAAGTGATTGGGAAAAGGCAGAAGGATATCTGGTCACACACGTGTGGACACACCTTTGCACTGATCCTCAGGAGTGTCCAAGTGGATGAAGCTTGCCCTGGGGTTGCAGTTACACCCTGCACTGTGTGCCCAGCGCGAGGCTAAACCGATGTTTTGTCCTGCAGACAAAAAGGAGTCCTTCGGCTTTGGCAATTTAACAGGAGTTCTGAATTAAGTAGGGAAAGGGTAACTAATTCTGTTGAAACATCTGGATCATACAGATGAGAGTGGTCGTTCAACACAAGAATACAATCGTCTTTGTGGTCGGCACTAGGGATATCCAGGGGACATTCCCTAGATGTACACTTGACAAAGAGCAAAAGGGAAAGCACCTCAAGCCCAGCTCAAGGGTGGGTTATTTGCTCCGGCACTCCCTTTCTCATCGCACGTCCAGGTCCCCGCCTGGGACGGCTTCTCCTCGCGTGTCAGCTGCTCGGGCCTGTGGCAGCGAGGCAAAGGGGAGAGGACACGGGCGGTCAGGGCTAGCGGAGTGGGAATTCTGTCACAGGACGGGGACAAGGCAAACCCACCGCTCCAAAAGGTGAGATGATTGTAATAAGCCCCAGAACTAAGACGCGGGCCCGCGGCCTGCCAGAACCAACCGGCTCTCCTCGGGCGGCCTCGCCGGGCCGCGGGAGCTACCGCAGCCAGCTAGGAGCAGTGGGAGGAGGAGGAGGAGGAGCGGAGGGAGGAGGCAGCGCTGGCAGCCGAGCGGGGAGGGGGCACGCGGAGCCGAGGAGGAGGACTAAGATGGCCACCAGCCGCCGCGGGGAGCGGCCCCGCTCCCTCCGCGGCCCCCTCGGCGCGGCCCGGCCTTGATGGGGCCGGGACGACCCCGGCGCCCGGACGGTGCAGCAGCAGCGGCGGCGCCTCCCGCTGGAGCCCGCCCGGGAGGAGCCGTCCTCCCGGCCCGGCCCGCACCGCCCGGCCGCGGCCGCCGCGCCGCGTAACCCCCCGAGCCGAGCCCTGCTCGCGGAGAGAGAGAGAGCACAGCGAAGAGAGGAGATCGAGGAGGGACGGACCGCCCGCCGCCTCCTCCCTGGGCCGGCAGAGCCGCACCGCCGGGACCTAGCTGCCCCCCGGTGAGTGCCCGCCGCCCCCCGGGCCCCGCCGCTTTGTTGCGCCGACGGCGGGCCCGAGGAGACCCGGCGCTCCCTCAGCCCGGCCGCAGGCCCCGCTCCCCGGGGATGCCGAGCGGCCGGGCCGGGCTGGAGGAGGGGGTGGCGGCGCAGGTGCCGGGGGCGGCCGATCATTGTCAGGGCGCGGGCACCCCCCCTCCGGCTCCAGTGCAGGAGCTGTGCCAGGGCCGCGGCGAGGGGCGGCCCGGGGGAAGCCCGGGGGTCGCGAAGGAGCCCCGCGAGCGCTGGGCCGCTCCGGCCGCCTTTGTTGTGGCTGGGGCGGGCGGTTTTCCTGCGGGAGCCCCGGCGGGGTGCGGGAGGGGCCCGCCGGCCCCAGCCCTGGGGAGGCCTGAAGGGAGTGTGGGGGTGTCGCCCCGGGCCGCCGCGGGCACTGGGTGGCTCATAGGCGGTGGGTCGAGTCGGCTTCCCCCCCTTCCCCCGCGTTTTATTTTGGTTTTTCGTGCGGGTACTGATTTTGGCGGCAGTCTCGAGCTGTCGACCCCGCGGTGCGGCAGGGACATTGAAGTTACGGAACCCGACAGGTTTGTCCCTGGGGACAGGGGAGTCGTGGCTCCTGGAGGGTTCGGAACATGGTGTTAGGGGGATTTGCGGGGTTGCTGAAGTACCTGCTCCTTGTCTTGAGCGCGGTTTTCGCCCTGCAGTTCTGAGAGGTGTTCCACTCAAATGGAGAGGTTTGCACTAGTCAGTAGTGCTGGGTGCTGAAACTCTGTGTGATGTTCACCTTGAAATATTAAGACTATAATTTCTAGCTGTGGCTGCATAGCAAAACACTTATGGAAGAAGTGCAAAGGACTAGATGTATTTATTTTGACCTATAGTTTCATAAATGATTAAACTGAAATTTTTTTGGCTAGCTAGAGTAACTAGCAAGATTTCAGTGTAGACCTCTGAGTCCTGGCCTTATTTTAATGACTGAATTTTGGTTTCTTGGTAATGTAGGTTTGTGACGAGGTCCATGCATGCCCACATATTGGACCATGAAATTTTACTACAAAAAACAAGTGGTGGTTTTCCTGTTAAGAAAAGTAATTTTTGCATGTTGTAGCTAACAGATGCTATTTTTCTGCACCAAAGCTAGGTTGCTCCCTGATGCCTGTGCATGCCTTTGTGCCCAGTTACGGCTGTACAGCTGTAGGATATTCCTGAGCTCACAGGCTCCTATGGATCCAGTCAGGCTCTGCAGAGAGCCAGCTTGATTGCATCCTTGGCACATTTTGGTGACAAGCTAGCAGTATCTTGAAGTAGGCTATGTGAACAAATTGTACAGTCTGTGTGAACTGACATTTTTGCAACATCTCACTCATCCTGTGCAATCTTGGTAGACATAGAGCATTTGAAGATATGAACTTACTTGCTGTGGGAACTGGTCAGTGGCAGTAAGCCAGCCAAGTCTCTTTGCTTTTAGGTTATAGGCAAGCAGGCATTGTGTCCTGGAAATGTGTCCATGTTAACGTGGCATTGTGCCTTTGTTCCGTGGTCCTGGTCAAGAGGTGCTGGCAGTCTAACTTCAGCTGCATGTTTGGTCTGTGAGTGGGTGTCTCCTCACTGTGTGGTGTGGGTCTTCCAGAGCCAGCTCTGAAATACTCAACACTGTTGATAACAAGTTGTTTTGGGTAGAAGAATCCCTCAAATATCAGATTGGAGGATGGTGCATGGTATTCTTCAGTTTGGTATGTGTTTGCTAGGAACTGGACACATTTCCTTTTCTAGTTAGGCAATTTTAGGCTGCCAGACTTGGAATAAAAGTGTAGTATGTTTTGGGTTTTATGGTCATATTGCATCTCTTAGGCAGCTGATTATCTAGTTGAAGCAAGTTAATCATGGTGCTGCTGTGACTTAGTATCTTCAGCACCCATTTGAAAATGTATTACAGCATTTCTATATCAAGGTTTAAGTAAGGGTTGGTGTGTCCAGTCAATTGTTTGTTTTCGGTTTAGTACATCAAGATCTGCTACTTGGTAGTACTTCTACCACACAGTGCTAGGGAAAGAGAACGGGTCTATGGGGAAAGAGCTCTTATCTTTTTGTTCAAAGTGGTAACAGAAAGATGCTAAATAAAAAAAATAATTATAGTTATTGATAATTTCAACCTTGGCATAACAAGGCTAAATTATCTTGTTGCATCTTGGTACAGGAGTGGTCTGAGAAGGTGATCTGACAGTTGTCTGTGTGGCTATGCAAACCTTGGTACTTAATTCTGGTTTAGTGGAGCTAAAATGGCAGAAGTATGCAAGGTGAGCAGGTCTTCAGGATGTGTGCTGCTGGTAGAGGAATTCAGCAGTGTGTTTCACATCCACCAACCTTGCATTAACTAATTCACAGTTTTCTGCAAGTGTTCTGTGGGATTTTTAGTGTTCAGGAAATTTCAGTGGTGCTTCATGTGCAGGGAATGGGGCTGAGTGTGGGCAGATGTTCTGCTTACCCCTTGAAATGCTCAATGTCATGAGATTGTTTGGAAACTTTGGTGTTGTAACATGGTGTTTCACTTCCCAAGTGTTGATATTAATTGTTCCATGTCTGGTTTCTGAAGATGCGCTAAACTGAAAAATGTAAAGAGAAGACAGTGATTCCCTCTTGGGTGGTTAAATTGACAGAGGAGAAATCTGTTCATGTTAATTAGCAGTTTCGTTTATGTGTGTAAGTGATTTTCAGTCCCTATTGCAAAATAGTGGAAATGCTGTTTCAGCAGTGGCCTTTGACTTGCAGGACTTCCTGCCATGAGGAAGTCTTGTGTCATCTGTCCAAAATAAACAGATTTTGAAAAGTGCAGATAAAGTATGCTGTGAGATACCATGCATCTAAGTAACAATTTACCCCCCTCTTGCTTGCTTGCTTTTCTGATAATTAGTACTATGGAAGTCTATTCTTACGATATGTTACTAGAATGTAACTTGCATTTGGTAATGGTAAATAGAATTTTCTGTTGGTCCACAGTGCAATTTCTGGATATGTATGTAGGTGGAAAACAAATTATTTCTTCATGGCTTTGATATAGAAGCTTTTAACTTCGCTGGTTTCCTTCTTGATTCTTTTTTTCATGCTGGTGATGCTGCTGATTACAATAGTACACTATTGAAAATGTCCAAGTTATGACAAGTACATAACAATATTAGTTTCTTTGATGTGTTTGGAATGCTGGTTGCTTTAAAAAGTACTTTTTGTGTTATCTGTCCTAAATGACCAACAGCTTGAGTCTTTAAGCCTTCATGTTCGTTGAAGGAGTGAGGTTCATTGATGTAAGATTGCCATATCTCCTAGAACAGCTCTCTTTAACTTTGTCATTTAGTTTACAGTTTCGTAATACAAGAGTGAAACTGTTTCTCTTCTGTTGGAGACTCTCATGCTGCTGCTGGACTGTTCATCCCTTGTCCAGGCTGGGGAGGACATGATTGTAAGGTCCCTGTGCACATTTGTTTTACTTCGCTGTCCCACGGACAGTATAGAAAGTGTTGCCATATCCTTTTGTTGGGTACAAAACCCTGCTGGCAGGATGTAACATTTTAACTGAAGTCCTTGGTGGGGAGGTGAGAGCAGTTCTTGGCTCAGGTGAGAGCACTGCAAGCTTTGCAGGACCGGCTATGCGTTAGTGGTGATCCAGCCTTGAGAGCATCTGTTTGGCAAGCAACCCATGTTTGATGAGGCAGTAGTGGAGGCTTTGGCTTTTTAGTCACATCCCCTGTTCTTCTGGATATTACAGGTAAATGTGTACAGCACCTTCCTGGTACAAACAGGGACTGAATGACAACATATTGCTGAGGAGGCCATGGCATGCTCTCAGGTGCTGGTGTCACTGTTGGGGGAACTTTCTTACATCTGCTAGGAGCTCTTGGCTGGTATCAAGGCTTTCAGAACAAGTGCGAAGGGCAGCTTTGTCCAGTCAAAGAAGGAAGAATAGGTCTTGTTCCTTTTATATTTGCTTTGCTCTAAGTATGCAGGAGGTTTTTATTTTCTTTTCTTTAAGTTTTTTGTGAGTGAAGATGACCTACATCTTTAGTTTTTTCCCATGAAAGTTCTGGGGCAAAATTTTCTGATTTTTTGTTCTGTGTGGAAATGTGCAATTGACATGATTTTTGACAATTGTGCTGATGTTTTTGAAATTTTGAATGACAGCAGGGAATATTTTTGGCTTTTTTTTTATGGTGTAATTTCTTCTTTTTTTCTTTTTTTCTCTCCCTACCTGTGGAGCAAAGCTGTGATAGTGGAAGTAGGACTGTATTGAGATTTGGGGGAAGAAAAGTTTGATTTTTTTTTTTTTGGAATTACTTTATTCAACTGAGAGCTATATGCCATCTTTGGGATCTTTCTTGTATGAGGGAAGAGGGGTTTGACTGCTTTGCTGGTTTTGGTGTTTCATCACTACCCTGTGATGGATTTCTGCCTATCTTAAGCATGTGACTTGTAATGCTTCTCACATATTGCAGAATAGGAACAGATTTGCAGAACTTGCAGATGTAAAAAAATACCTTCTGAAATTTCAAATGCAGTAGAACAGTGTTGTGCTAGGAAAGAGGGAATTGTGTGGGAGCCATAAACAATAAGGGATGTTGGATGGTATGAAGGCAAGTGACTTCTCATTTCTGGGCAAAGTTTAAGAAATGTCTGCGAAAGATGAGATGGATGCATCTGAATTGTAACAATCAGAAGCATAGGATCTTTCGTTCTTACACCTTCACAAATTTTGTTATTTCCATGTGTTTTTATTACAATATGACATGGAAAAAGCTTTAGTCAGGTTGGCTAGCCTAATGTACAGACAATAATAAATTTGAAAACACATAGAAGAAGTGGATTTTCTGGGTGGCTTATTTCATCCCTTTCTCTCTTACTGTGCAGAATTTTTTTGTTTCACTGGAAGCATATAAGAGATAAATTCCTGCTTTTTCATGCTGGCTGAGTATTCATCAGTTCCATGGGTAACTTAAGCTTCTTTTTCCAGTTCTAAG